AGTGCGCGACAATGACACAGCGATGTCCATATTCCTTAGAAACTGCCCAGAACGGGAATTCAAACGAATAATTAAAGTATGTCTATTGAATTATTTCTTTAGCTATACTAACGGCATGTGGACAGGCACTTCACCTGTTACAAGTGTAATTCTAAGATATCTCTGTGGACGGTTTTCATTCATATACATCAAATCAACTAACTGGTTTCAGTACCTCTACGAATTAACATATTTCTCTATACCCGATTATAATTTTGTGTATTATTGTATTCAGCATGCATGCAAGGTATGTTAACTCAAGGCCTAGGATACACATAACGAGAAATACTCTGATCAGGTTTTCCATGCAAAGCCTCCATAATATTGACAGGGCCGCAGCAACCTTTCCTGCACGAACGCTACGTACAGTGTGTTCCCCGAAAACGATAGGGCGCATGGCGTGGCTTGAAGGGCAGCCAGAGCAGATTTTTCACCAATTGTAGCGTACTCAGGATGACTTTATTGGTGGGACAAGGCCGCAACCGCTCCGCTTTGAACTCCCCAATCGTTAGCATGGATCACCTTTGCATCCCTTGAAGACAAACCCCGCGATTGCATATTGTGGGTGTTGGCCTTCAATAGGGAACTAAGCACGTAACTTTCCAGTCAAGAAAAAAAGCACAAAAAACATCAGGAACACCTGAAGTAAGGACCCGTGGCAGGATCACTGTTCGAGTTCCCTGGACCTGCGCGTTTCATGACAACAAAGCGATATCCTACCGCCTCATTCTTACCAGTCGTTTATTGGCGTCATCTAGCGTCGAATACCGCTTAATAATGAAAAAAAGGAAAACAGTATTCTGAAACGCAATTCTTGACAAAGAATACCCCACGATTGTGTTTTGTGCATTAATGGGACATGGAGAACACTATCGCAGGACGAGCTACTGCAACATCAGCAGTGAAATGAAGTAGTGAATCGCTCTTGCGATTGACGCACCTCCTGCGAATCTTTCCTGCATGACTTAAGATGTCGAGGTAATTATCGTTAGATCATACTGACACCATTCTTGGTGCAGATGATCAGCATCTCGGAAGCGTCTTTCAGCGTGTTAGTGATCAGCACGACGTCACTTGTGAGTCAAAGGTGATCAAGAAAATAACCACAATTTTTCAATATAGGGATGCTCGACTTGCAACGGCACGTGAAGAATTCTAGACACACGAACAGTGCTGTGTAAAATCGGGCCATACTGTCGTAACCTTTTTCAAGTTCACGGCGCTGAAAAAGGCGATTCGCTCTACGTAGATTTTCTCAACACCTTGCTCTTCCAGCGTCTCCCAAATGTTCGCCGGACCCACTCAGTCGAATGCTTTTTGTACTCAACAAATGTCAATACAAAAGCAAGTCGTGTTCTCGAGCTGCTTCAATTAGACGTCGGCGTGTTGCGATGTGGTCGAGCGGGCTAACATTTCTACAGAATCCTAGGATCGGCTTCCGCTTGAGCAACCAACCCTCTATCTCTCCGGAACAGTAAATTGGCACCACGTGCGTCAAAGAGGGTAAGAATACCGACCTGCACATAGGCTGGCCCCCGCAAGCCATTGTACAGGTTACATCGCATTCAAAAGCCACTTCGTTTCTGAGGATGCGAGCCGCATCCCCAAGAGGATTGATTAAAATTGAAGACTTCAACCTTTATTCTTTGACGTCCATTTCTGCTTCTTTTCTTCGTGTCCTCGTTTGAACTGCGACGTATTTCTGATGCGAAGAAAGTTGATATTGAACTTCAACACTGGTTCAAGTCTTTCAACAAAGAGGGGCGACTTGAAGATAATGTATAGAAAGTGCAGAATCTGCCCCTTTTTCGGTATCGACGAGTAGCGAAACCTTGCAAAAGTTCGCGTAGTTCACGTTTGGGAGCTAACCGGACCTTATATCTTGGCTTCTTATTTTATTTCGAGCGTTTCTGGTGGGTATTGCACGTTCTTTACTAACAAGTTGGCGAGCGCCTTCAAACTCATGTAAGAGATTCATCACTCACGACCGCAATCCTGAAACATTTCTTGACGCCAACTTGAAATTGGGGATCATTTAACATGATTTCAGGCAAATAACATCAAGCCGTCAGATCCATTGGACTGGGATAGATATCATGAATTCGCCGGTCCAACAGGTCCTCCAGGTGATGGCAAAATGGTGAACCTCGACGAACATGAAGACGAGTTTGAAGTAGGAGCACATAACAGCCACAGCAGTCATATTAACAGTCGAGTGAGTTAGTGCTTGCGTTCCTGTCACCATTTTTCAAAAGCCATCACGATGAGATCTTGGCCATCGGTTACGTAAGTAATGTGCAAGACGTTACTGCATACGTTCTGTGGACTGTAACAAAAACATCCAAACTCAATGAGGAAGGAGTAGAGCGAAGAAAGGAAAGTTGACTCAGTGCAAAGGACTACGCCATACCTATAGACCAGGGGGGCAACATCTGTTAGGTTGTTACCAGCTATGAGAGATGAGAATCAGTAATCATAAGAAGATCACTTACCGTTCACCATTGGTAGAGCAGGGCATTCGAAAGCGGGCTCATGCCGCTCGGCTCTCGCCGCCTCCGACTGGCTGCGATGTCTTCTGGAATAAAATATGTATGTAGGAAATTGCTGAATTCCAGACCTAAATTACTGACATTTTTTTGTGAAACACCGCCAATAGTGGCGGTTCTCCAGAAAACGCAGCGGTACACAATAGGTCATCTTTGGCACTATTTTCCGAAACAATTAGTATCCAAGCAGAGTTCAACAAAAGTATCCAGCAAAAAGGAAGCCCTACACCCACCTCCGTATATGCTAGTCTTTGCCATGTGTGAGGTGAATAGGTACACAGCTGCGGTGATGTGCCCTTTTCTCCCTCCAAAAGTGCACAGGAACGGGGTCGGGGGGGGGGTGGGGTAATGATACCCGGGTGCCATCTCCATGCTCCGCTCGAGATGCCACTGACCAGTCACAAGCGTGACCGTAATCAAGGCGCTGATTGTCTGCGCCCTCTCACTGGTGGTTGTTCTGTACCGCAGAGTAGGTGTTTGGCTGCGGCGCGGCGGCCTTGGTATCGACGCAGGTACTTCACCTTGAGGACAGCTAGGGCGGGTTCAGAGACAACACCCAGGTATCAACTTCCCTGCAGCTCCATTCTCGTGCAGTTTTAAGCAGTGAAAATGGCACGCTACTGCAGCTGCGGATCCATTCGCCTCGCACATGGCAAGGGCGAGCGCTTAGTTAAGTCTCAAATTCGGTGAGGGAGGTGCCATGCCAGCTAATCTTCATGATCTCACGTGAAGGGTATTCACGAAAGCCCCTTCATACAGTGGAAAGCCTGATATATCAGATGCTGGACTCTATCAAAAGTCTGTGAATTCCTATAGTCCAAATGCTGCGTCGATTTAATATTGAAAACATTTTAGCAGCACAGTCAGCAGCATACTAAGAGAGGTTCCAGCATTAGAAAAAGATCACCTATGCAAGGATCGGTGAGAAATTTTCAGGCAGGGTACAGCATCGTTGTGTCAAACCCATGGGGTCGTACTTTTGCTCTGGGGGGGGGGGGTCGTATTTGGAAGACAAATTTATTTTGATAGTTGATTTTTTTCTTGTGGAAAGGGGGGGTCGTATTAATTTTTTATATGCACTATATGCATTTTGTACGCCCGTGGGGTATAAGTTGCATGGTAATCTCTCCCACCCCCTCCCCGCTCGTCAGCGTTTCCGTCCGACTACACATCGCTCGTCGTCGGCGAAGAAGCCGTGGAGGTGGAGGGGGGGTCGTGCCTGGACCCCATTCGAAGGGGGGGGGTCGTACTCACACCGACATTTCGCACATCCCCATGCTGTACCCTGTTTCCAGGTCTCATCGGCTGTTCCAGTGCACGGCTTCATATTTCAGAAATCTGATGGAGGGAACAAAGGGTCTACGATTTCAAGGCATCGTCACGCTACGCCTGTGTCTTGAAAAGTAGCTTCTTTCTACACATAGCTTTGCTACGTATCTTCTTCATGCCTACCTACTTTCTGCATAACGGAATGACTCAATTAGATCGTGTCTCTGTGGTTAATTTGTAATCATCGGAGATTTAATAAAAATGTTCTGCTTAGTCATCCTATGTTCAAAAACAGAGCTGCAGTGCCATAGTTGTCTCACTAGTGGAAGGGAAGGCATGACAATTGTCCCTAGAAGGGTGACCATGTTTTGTAGCTGGTCGTGATCACCGGACGAGGACACGATGGCGATAAGGTGGTGAAAATCAAATGCAAAGCGCAAAATATGACGATACATCGAAAAGAGCGGGAAAGATACCATTAAACGGGGATGGGGGGAAGGGGGGAGAGAGGTAAAAGGGCACAACGACTTCATCATGATGAGACGGACTGTAGGCCAGGATTGGCTTTTGGGTGCTCACTGGCCTAACGTTTAAAGGCAGCGCCCGCGTTCATTTGTTGTTCTCACGCCCTCTCTGGATCTAGTAGCTCCCCCTATGAGGATGGTGGACGTGCATGTTTCGCAACCCAAAAATGCGACGGAACAGCGGCGTCCGCCCGCAAAGAGCCGACGGCTCCGCCCACCTGCCGACCACGCCACCCAACTTCATTTCTAATGGTTGCCTGATGGTGCGGTTGTTCCATTGCTGCTTCTCTCCACGTGGAGTGGTGAGAGTGAGGTGATAAG